GTAGAAACCCTGAAGACCAACCGCTATTTATTCTCGTACCTTTTCTGAGGAGTCAGCACATATAGGGCGAACCAATTTCGCAATTATAAATCTCTGGAGGCACACACCCAATTCACCTAGGATGGATACAAGATTTGGCTATTTTTAAGCCTTCACGTAGTGAATACGCCATCATTCAAACGCCGTCATTAAAGGTAAGTCAGCTTGTATTTTGGTACAATACAGTACAATTGTAATATGGTTATAAACCTTTCTTCAAGCAGCAGTTTGCCCCATATTTCAACCTAAGTATCAAGTTGATTTAACCAACAACCAAAGTCACCACATATGTTGTTCTGAATAGGATTCTGTTCTGCATGGCCTCTATCCACACTAGTCTAATGGGTCTAAACAGGAAGACGTGTCCTGGTGACCTACTTTACTGCGACCCTCTTCCACATGCAACTGGGATCTTTAATCCTTGTTGGCATCAATCCTCTTGGAATCCAGTGTTGTGATGTGATTAACGCTGCCTAGTATGTATGCTTCTTCTTTGAGATGTTCTTAGGCTTCTCTTATGGGTGAAAAGACCCTCAATTTTAAGGTAAAGGATTAAACTTGAAACCAAAGTTAATTCACTGTTTCATTTTAGTAATTTAAAGCAACACACAACAATACGACTCGGTGTAGAGGTTAAAAGAAAAGAATACAAAAAAATAATACTAATGATAGTTTCATTGATTGATTGACTGATTTACTTAAAGACAGCAGCTACTAAGAATGAATTGGATCTGTATGAACAACATTGTTTTCCTTTGTTCTTTTCGACACCCAGTGAATGATCTACAGTTTAAATCTACAATGCAAACAGTGGTTAGTCACAGTCATGTCTGCCAATCCAACACGTTTTAAAATCTAAACTTAAAGTCATAAAGCTTAATCAGTAGCTCGAGGTTTTAACAGTAGCTTATATTTACAACCACGATGGTTTATTTTCAGGTCTAAATTGGAAACTATATCCCTACCAACCCTCCTTGCTGTATTTAACCTACCAATTAAAATTAACCAAAAAAAAAATTACTTAAATAGGTCCAGACAGATCCAGATAGAACTAGAGAACTGTGGCAAAAGCCACCTACCATCGAGAAGGTGCTAATGTTAGCAACTCTGTTAGCTGTTTTGTTATGAGAACGCTAGTAGCTAGCTAACTAGCCTAGCATCCTAACAAAGGGACGATATTCAACATCCAGCTCTGTATGCTACCATAATGTTTACCTGTTCCACCAACATTAATAACAGCACTATCACCATAGAGAAATAACCCGACAAACAATAAATTACCTTGCTTTGAAGCGGACTTTCAATCTCCGACCCCGACAGGCGCGATCGACTCCTTTTTCCGTTAGACCGTCGACGGGAGCGCCTCGGTGTCTCTGGACAAGCAGCAACAGTTTTCTGAGACCTAAGTCTCATTTTTTTTCTTTACCTGGGGGTTTGTTAACATCTAAACGTAACGAAGATAATCGCTCTCAATCCGACGCTTCGCTGTTCAAGCACCAAACAGAGCCTAGAAGTAGCTCCGCCCCCACTCGCTGAATCAGCGCGTTCGTTTGAATATACCGGGCTCCGATAGGTTTAGCACCGCGGAGACGCTTATTGGGCGGTGCTTTGTAAAAAAGCCAGCGTCAACGTGATACGCCCGTCACGTTGCCCTCACTCCCACCCCCCTTTGAATTTTATATGCAAAGAACCTCTGGGTGAGCACGATTATTAAAGAGCAAAGAGGCAATTTCTGCAACAGCATACCTTACTTTTTTAAAAAACTGCATAATTTAATATACACGGTGAACTTAAAATGAGGCATTTAAGGTGTAGAATTCAGACTTTAATTCAATTTTATTTACATAAATGGCAACAACAGTGGCCTCAAGATGCTTTAGGGCAAAGACCCTACAAAAGAAAACCCCAACAACCATACCCCATGTTTCTAAGACTCTTAGGGCCCAGTAAGAAATTAAAGGCCACAATGATACAGTCAATGGGAAGCATGTGTAATGTGAATATAAATGGTTCTAGCACAGAACCCTGTGGAACTCCATGATGAAACTTAGTGTTAGGCAGACTCCCCATTCACACAAACAAAGTGGAGTCTGTTACAACCCCTGCAGCACAGTACCTTTAAGTCCTATTGCAAGATTCTCTGCCACCTATTCTATGCCACATCAACATCTCCTCCTTCACTACATCCATTAATCTTCTCTATGTTCTTCCTCTTTTCTTCCTTGCTGTGCCATCTTCAACATCCATTGTACAGTATATCCACTATCCCTCCTCTGGACATATCCAAACCATCTCAGCCTCTCTAACTTTATTTCCAAACTGCTTGTTCAATCTGTCTTCCTGATCTACTCATTTCTAACTGTGGCCAATCTGATCACTCCACATGAAAATCTGAACATCTCCATCTCTGCTGT